TGACTCTCAATATCTACCAGCTAAGAGAGAGAGAGAGAGAGAGAGAGAGAGAGAGAGAGAGAGAGAGAGAGAGAGAGATGGGCGACATCGGGATTTGACGACATTTGGGTTCAGACACAACTTCGGGATTCAGACCGTGGGCGAGGGATTATTTGGGACTGTATCAACGACTTGGTGTTGACGACATTTCCATCTTCCCCCTCTCCTTCGTCTAATCCCCCTCTTCTTCGTCTGTGTATGATCGGGGACTGACACATTCTTCCTACGTGAGCGTCAACCCCCTTCACACCATGGAATGATGATGATGCATGTTTGGTCTGCATGGCAGCTTGATCGATCGGATCATTGGTATTTAAGTCTTCCGTTGTGCTATCTTGTATCTGGCGAGACAGGTCGGTTCTTGGTCTGGTCTACACCTTTATGGTATGCAACAAAGGTCCAAACTGCGGTGGTCGATCAGGAAACGGGTCAGCAGGACTGAAAGGCAGCAGTTTTGAGGCATGGAAGACAGGATAGGTCCTGATTTGTGGGGGTACAACAAACACATAGTAAGGCCCAAAGGGGTCTTCTCCCACATTATCAAGTACCTGCGATGGCCCATAGTAGACAGGCAACAACTTTCGTGACATGTCATCTTCATCGGTAAACTCTAATCTTTTCACCCAGATCCAGTGACCATGCCGAATAGGAGAGGGAGAATGCTCATTAGCCTGCTCTATCATCCTTTTCTGAGCCTTGAACATGTAAGTTCTGTCTTTTCTAGGTCCTTCTCATAACTCTTGGTAAATTCTGCAGTCCCAAGAGTTAGTTTAGGATTGTCAATGAGATCGTCAAGAGGTTGTCTTGGGTCTTTGTCAAGAGGCTCAATCCCAAGTGAAGCCTATAAGGTGTAAAGCCTGTAGTGCTATGAACAAAAGTATTATACATAAGTTGAGCCCTTGACAGATGCTTGTCCCAGTCCTGCTGATCACGTGTGATCACAGGACGCAACAGCTGAAACAGGGCTTGGTTCATCACTTCAGCCTGTCCATTGGCTTCAGGATGTCTGTCACAAGTCATGTCTAGCCTGGAATAGACGTAGTCTTTACAGAAAGACTGCCATTCATCACTGCAAAACCTGAGGTCTCTGTCACTGACAATTGAGGTTGGGCACCCATGGACATTAACACACCTCTCAACACACAACTCTCTCACTAGAGAAACTTTGGCCTCGACTGGTAAGGGAATAAACTCAGCAAACTAAGAGAAACAATCAACACATACCATAACCTGCCTCATGCAACGAGGGGTGGTCTTGCCAAAATCAGTAAAGTCAATGGACACCGACTCACTTGGACCATCTGGAAGAGGCAATGGTTTAAGTAGCCCCATAGCAGGTCGTTTGTGGACCTTGTTCCTTTGGCACAATTCACAAGTCTCTAAGTACTTGAGAATATCCTCCCTCATTCTTGACCAATAAAAGCGTTGGGTCAGGGCAGCATAAGTCTTTAGGAACCCAAAGTGACCATTATCATCATGACTCTTTGAAATCAGATGAGTTGTGATCTTGCGATCATTAGGAATGCACAAGCGTTCTTCTCCTTCACGGATAGTGCATAGGAGATTTGAAGTTAAGGCATAGCCTGACTCAAAATTGGGATCAACATGCAAATCACTACATATATACCTAGCGCTAAGTTCCTACCTTTGACAAGTGGACGATCGGGGCCCTCCGGTTTTTTGCTGCGCAATGGTCCTAATCGTCTGCTGATCATTTTTTCTTAGAAGTTGAAGCGTCACCAGGGCCAGTACCGGTCCCACATGCTAGTGCCGACACCACGCTTGGTACACCAAAGTTGGTACCCCACAGGGTGCTGAGGCCCCGCTCTAGCACTGGTACTGTCGGGCATTGCCAGACCAGCGCCAAGCGGCCACACGCAACAAACTTTTGGGAGGCGGTGAGGAGAAAGTCGTGTGGCCCCACACCACACCTGCCCTCCAATCGACTTCGACTTTTCATACCCTAGGCTACAGCGCTCGACTTCGACTAACGTCTACATTGTTATGCTAAACTAAGACTTCACTCTACGTTGGACACACGCGCACATACATGCACACGCACACACGCGCGCGCACACACACACACACACACGCACACACGCACGCATGCACACACACTCACACACACACACACTCCCACAAACACACACACACAAACGTGGAAAGTCCTTGGCCATCAATACAGTTCGTCTTCGGCGGACTGTCGGGGTTCAACCTCCTGATGAGTTGGTGGAAGTCCGACGAAACAGTCTGGCTGAGTCATTTTGTGAATAATGTATAGCGAACATAACAACACTCACACATACTCAGACTCGCCCACACAAAATGCACACACCCACACACACGCACACACACATACACACATACACACACACACCCACGCACACACACACACCCAGGACACACCATCTCTACATCCTGAATGTTGGACGCTAAGCCTTGAGTTGTGCAGCGTCAAGGCTTTCGAACGACCGCACCTTGATGACTGACGGTGAGTTTGTTATTTTTGTCTGTTGCTTTCATTTTTTGTGGTCTTCGAATTATGAGAGAGAAAGAGTGCATATGTGTTCGCATGTGAGTGTGTGTGTGTGTGTGTGTGAGAGAGAGAGAGAGAGAACCTACGACCTGTTGTCAAGTGTATTACCTGCACCATCAGAGAGAGAGAGAGAGAGAGAGAGAGAGAACCTACAACGTGTTGTCAAGTGTATCATCTACACCAATCAGTCCATATCTGATCCGCAGTCCATCGGGACTCAAAAAGAAAGAAACGGAAAATTACGCGCGCACGCGCGAGCGTGCGAGAGAGAGAGAGAGAAAACCTAAAACGTGTTGTCAAGTATATTATCTGCACCAATCAGTTTCATATCTGATCCTCGGTCCATCGGGACCCGAAAAGAAAGAAACGGAAAACAGCGCACGCGCGCGCGCGAGAGGAACCTTCCAGAATGCGTTCGGTTTCATATCTGATCCATAGTCCATCAAGACATTTTTATTTATTAAAAAAAAAAAAAACGCGAGTGCGTGCGCGCCCATGAGAGAGAGAGAGAGAGAGAGAGAGAGAGAGAGAGAGAGAGAGAGAGAGAGAGAGAGAGAGAAAGAGAAAGAACCCAACCTAAAAAACTATGCCCCCCCCCCCCCCCCCCCCCCCCCCCCCCACATGTTTCGATAAGTTTCATATCCGATCCTTACCCCCCATACGATCAAGCGTAGTAACTGCTCTGTTCAGTTTCGTATCTGATCCGTGGTCCATCAAAACCTTTTTCTTTAATAAAAGGAAAAAAAAGCATGCGCGAGCGAGCGAGCGAGAGAGAGAGAGAGAAAGGGAGAGAGAGAGAGAGAACCTAACCTAACTAACTATGCGCCTCCCCTCCCCTCCCTCCCCACACGATCAAGTGTAGTATCTGCTTCAATCAGTTTCATATCGATCCTCCCCCCCACACGATCAAGCGTACTATCTACTCCGTTCAATTTCATATCTGATACGTGGTCCATCGAAGGGAGCGAGGAAGGAAGAAAGAGAGAGAGAGAGAGAGAAAAAAAAAAAACAACCAGGCCCCTTCCCCCCCCCCCACGATCAAGTGCAATATCTGCTTCGATCAGTTTCATATCCGATCCTACCTCCCCTCAGGATCAAGTTTAGTATCTGCTCCGTTCTGTTTCATATCTGATCCGTGGTCCATCGATACCTTTTTACTTACAAAAAAAAAAAAGCACGCGAGCACGCGTGCGTGCGCAAGAGAGAGAGAGAGAGAGAGAGAGAGAGAGAGAGAGAGAGAGAGAGAGAGAGAGAGAGAGAGAGAGATGCCTTAAACGCACGCGTGATCAAGTGTAGTCTCTGCTTCGATCAGTTTCCTATCCGATCTTCTCACATGATCAAGCCGTAGTACCTGCTCCGTTCAGTTTCATGTCTGTAAGCCGAGACCTTTTTATTTAAAAAAGAAAAACAAAAGCACTCGGGAACGAGAGAGAGAGAGAGAGAACCCAATCCAACTAGCTATGCATACCCCCCCCCAAAAAAAAAGATCAAATGTAGTTTCTGCTTCGATCAGTTTCATAACCGATCTTCTCCAATGATCAAGAGTAATATGTGCTCCGTTGAGTTTCATATAGTATTAGTTGTGGTTCATCGAGACCTTTTATTTTATAAAAGTAAAAAAGGAGCACGCGCGTGCACCTGTCTCTTATACACATCTAGATGTGTATAAGAGACAGCTCTTCAGCTCCTCATTTATTTATTTACTTATTATTTCTTTATTTATTTTCTGAAATATTTCATTTGCGG